GGCTTTTTTCTTTTTGCTTATGTGGTGCTGAGGAATCGAACCCAGGGCCTCATGCATGCAAGGCAAGCACTCTACCACTGAGCCACCTTCCCAGCCCAAGAATGGAAGATTTTGATAGCATATTATTCCATAGTTTTTTTTATTACTTTGTTATTATAATATCTGAGAACTGTTGATTTAAAGTACTATATAGTTTTTGAAGGATTCTTGTTCTTAATCTATTTACAGATTTTACAGATACTGAAGACTCAGCCAGATGCAGCATATCAGATATCACAACAAGTGGGTTGGCAAGATACTTTGGTCAGACTTTTTTTAAAAGCAGATTTTAAAAATGGAAATTTTCTTCATAAACATTGTAGGAGTGTTTTAATGAAAGAAAATAAAAGTCCATCTGGTGAAGACACTAATGGTAACTTTGAAAAAACAGATGAAGAAAAATTCAACTCTTTTACCTCAGCTAATATGTCTTCAGATTATTGGAGCACTGAGGATAAACACTCTCTAGATTTAAACACACCATTATTTCAAGAAGATAGTTCTGTGGGAGAACTGTCATTCAAATCAGATAATCAAGAAGAATTCTGGCATAGTAACCCTTCACATTTGAGTTTAGATCTTACTGGAATTGACTCTTGTGAACCGAGTGATAGTAGAAGCCAAATGGCAGACAGCCTACCTAGCACGCCATCTCCCATAGAGTCTAGTAAGTCATTTCCTGTGCAGTCTGACAAAGAAGGTAGCATCACCAACGATAGCGGCTTTAGTGATGACTTCTCTTTACTGGAAAACCAGGAGGTAAAATTGCTTATGTTTTTCAAATAATGCTTTAATTTTCATATGTCTTTTATATATACTTTGAATCAACAGTATATAAACACATTAATAATTTCATATTCATGTTCTAAGTCTCATAATCTAAGGTTTAGAGGCCTAATTACTTGTATGTGTTTTTTTTTGGGGGGAGGGGTCCAGTCATGGGGCTGAACTCTGGGCCTGGGCGCTGTCCCTCAGATCTTCAGCACCACTTCCAGCTTTTTTCTTTTTGCTTATGTGGTGCTGAGGAATCGAACCCAGGGCCTCATGCATGCAAGGCAAGCGCTATACCACTGACCCACCTTCCCAGCCTGTATGTATGTTTTTTTTATGTGGTGGTAATGATTAAACACAGAACCTGGCACATACTTGGAAAAGTGCTTTATCAGTGATTTACATTTCCAGCCTGTGAGTGTCTTGATAACAAAGCCAATGTTTTGTGCGCCTTGGATCTCCAGAGCCTATTAAAGTTCCAGTTTCATCAAGGCATTTAAAAAATATAGCACACTGTTAGTACATGTGATGATAGTTCTTAGGATATGCTTTCTAATTCAATAATTCATTTTATTTTCTTTTTTATAGAGATGTGAGGAAGAACTTATTCAATTGCTGACAAGTATTTTGAATTACATAATGTGTAAGGGACTAGAAAAGTCTGATGATGATACTTGGATTGAAAGGGGACAAGTGTTTTCAGCACTGACGAAACCAGGAATATCTAGTGAGCTACTTCGACCATCAGATGAAATAAAACTAATGTAAGCATTCACTTTGATTTTTAATCTTCTTTTTGGAATTGTCAGGAGACTAAATTGGTATTGGTTATTGAATACATATGTAGGATTAAGTGGACAGGGGAAAACAAATTATGCTTGATTCCTTTTCCTATGTTTTATTATTCTAGTAAAATCTAGAAAGAAATAAAAATCTGAGATTTAAATAAAATTTGAGTTGTAAATTATTTCACATTTCTTTTTAAAAATTATTTTCTGCAGTATCTTAGGACTTGATGGGATAAAATTAGTATTGTCATAAACACTTCTAAAGTATTTAGGGTTCCCTATAGATAATGGAACTCTAATAAGAGTATATCAAGTATATCAAGAATGAATTAACTTACTTGTTTTTCTTCAAACTCTAAGGCAGAAGGCAATTCTTAAAGCAATTCTTGCTCATTTCTTAAGTTTTTCTCATTCATAACTGGCATTCTACCTCTTGAGCCACACCTCCAGTCCCAGGTTTTTTTTTTCTGGTCATGGGGCTTGAACTCTGGGCCTGGCTTTCCCTCAGCTCTTCAGCTCAAGGCTAGCTCTCTACAGCTTGAGCAAAGCATCACTTCCAGTTTTCTGGTGATTAATTGGAGATAGTCTCATGGACTTTCCTGCTGTGGCTGGCTTTGAACTGTGATCCTCAGATCTCAGCTTCCTGAGTAGCTAGGATTGCAGGCATGAGCCCCCAGCGCCTGGCTTCAGTTCCAACATTTCGGTGGTAAATTGGAGATAAGAGTTTGGTGTTTGCCAAACTGACATGAAACATTAATCTTCAGATCTCAATCTTCTGAAGTACCTAGGATTATAAACATCAGCCACTGGTACCCAGCTAATTTCTGAATTTTTTTTTATTGTGAAAATACTATACAGAGGGGTTACAATTACATGGGCAAGATAATGAGTACATTTCTTATCAAGCATAGTAGCCTCCTCCTTTGTTTCCCCTTCTAATTTCTGAATTTTGTTTTTGTTTTTGTCTTTGTATTTTTTTGGGTCTGGTCGTGGGGCCTGAACTCTGGGCCTGGACACTGTCTCTCAGCTCTTCAGCTCAAGGCTAGCACTCTACCACTTGAGCCACAGCGCCACTTCCGGCTTTTTTCTTTTTGCTTATGTGGTACTGAGGAATCAAACC